ACATTCTACTCTTAGAAAGATTCACCTGTACCCCTATAAGGTAAACCTCAGAAGTAATCCCTCCAAACTCCCTCCCTCCACCCATTACCCCCTCCCTTCTCCCTCCCCCTCCCCATATTCTTAGGCTATTTGGTTATAGCTTTCATATAAAAAGGTTTAAATTGTGTCATTTTCTTAGTTATTATTTTAAAATGTTCACATTCTGCTCTTAGAAAGATTCACTTGTACCCTTGTAAGATAAACCTCAGACATGATACTTTTAGGACTTAGAGCACACATGAACGCCAACACCATGTTTTACAGGAGGAAATAATTTCTGGAGAAGATTCCATTACAGAGGCAGTTTTAAGAGTTGTCAGAAGGAGAAACTTCAGGAACAAAACTGTTTAGGACCTGAGAAAGGATGATCTGCAATAGAATTTTTTTTTGTACGACATCATGAATGAGCTCCTTTGATGTGTTTGGCAGCTTTTGATAATTATTGATGAGACTAAGAGCAGCTCATGAGAGGGTAGACTTAATCACTAGATTTATGATGAGCAGAATAATTTTTAACCAGTGTCTTTTGGTCCAAAGTCTGAGAATCTTATTTTTCTGCCTCTCTCCCCTTTATTAAAAGATATTTTACCAGAAAAAAAAAATTTGCATTGACTTTTACATAAATTTCTCTTGTCAGCAAATATGAAATGAAATTTTGATATGTTCTTACAGTTAGAACACTTTAAGAAACACTCATTGAGAAATTGCTTTAACAAAAGGAGAGACCAGAAGCTCAAGTTATTAGTTGGAGAACTTAGTGACTATCATTCAAATTTTCTATTTATTCTGAGGCTGCTAAACTGAATAAAGAGACAGTATTTTTCTGGCCATATCCTTGAGGGCTTGTTTTACTTGTTTATTCCTTAGAGTGTAAATGAACGGGTTCAGTAAAGGGGCAACTGAGGTATTGAGCACAGCGACTCCCTTGTTGAAGGCAACCCCTTCTTTGGCTGAAGGTTTTATGTACATGAAGATGCAGCTTCCATAAGAGAGAGAGATTACAATCATGTGGGAAGAACAGGTGGAAAAGGCCTTGTTCCTCTGCTGAGCAGAGGGGATGTTCAGAATGGTCCTGATGATGTTTGTGTAGGAGAGAATCACCAGCACCAGGGTGACCACCAAGGTCACAACTGCTAAGATGAAGTCAACCAGTTCCAGCACACTTGTGTCCGAGCAGGATATTTCTATAAGGGGTCCATAGTCACAATAATAATGATTCAGGACATTGGAGGCACAGAAATCCAGCTGACTGGTCAGGATGATGGGGAGTAAGATAATTAGGAATCCACCCAGCCAGGAGCAGAGAACCAGCTGGACACAGACCCTGTTGCTCATGATGGTGGTGTAACGCAGGGGTTTGCAGATGGCCACGTAGCGGTCATAGGACATGGCAGCCAGGAGGTAAAACTCTGTGGCCCCGAAAAATATGGCAAAGAAATACTGAGTGAAGCATCCAGCGAAGCTGATCGTTTTATTCCCTGTAGAGATGCTGAGCAGCAGCCTCGGAGTGAAGGTGGTGGTAAAGGAAATTTCTAAGAAGGAGAAGTTGCGGAGGAAGAAATACATGGGGGTGTGGAGGTGGGAGTCCAGCAGCGTGAGGGTGATGATTGTCAGATTACCTAAGATGCTGAGCACATAGGCAAGGAAGAGAAATATGAAAATAATAATTTGAAGCTCCGGGATGTCTGTTAGTCCCAGCAAGATGAATTCAGTCAAAGTTTGGTTTTTCATTGGTAACTTTTGTTGCCTGTGAAGTTGAGAGAGAGAGACAGATGAGTGATGAAAAGGGGAGAGAGCGCAAGAATATTGAGGGAGAGTGTAGATTTTTCTTAAAATTTGTTCATGGGAAAATCCTCTGTCTGACCCAGACAGGATATCTGTTGGTCTCAATGTGATCCTTTATAAAATCTGTTTTAAAACTCTCATCTGGAAGGGTTTATTTCTGAAGCTCTTTCCTTAGAACTAGACAATGGCCGCTTGGTTTTCCTTAAAGCATCTTCTGAATTTTTATTTTTACCCTGTATTCTCATTTTGTTTTGTTTTCCTCTCATATCTATGGAGCCCCTTTCCTGGGATTCTAGTGGCCATGTCTCATCTCCACCCAGCCTTGAGGCCGTGGTGGTTGGCTTTCCTGCTGTCCTCTTCAACGTATTGGATGCCTGCCCCGCCTTTTGTTCTGATAACAACTGCCAACCTGCCGTGTAGGATCATACGCTCTTTTCATCTGTTTTTGCTTTTGTGCCTGTAGGTAGAGCTGAATTGTTTGTGCTTCAAAATAACTGAATTCTTTCTTGTTTTCTGATGGGCAAGAGACAACAGATAGCCACTTAATTCTTGAAAGGTTTACTTAACTGCTTTAAAAGCACAGGGAGAAATGTTTATCCAGACTTTAATCTCTTCTTATTCTTTTTCAGTCTGTGGGATGTAGATGTGACCCTTTTATAGAAAACTAGGGAAGAACTGGCCTGGTATTCTATAGATGAGAAAGAGCCCCTCTCAGAAAAGAAACTGCTGGGTAAAAAATCCTTTTGGGCATTTACCTTGTGTTCTGATCTTCTCAAATACTTGAAACTAAAGGACCTTACAGTCCATTCTGAGCTGGGTTCTTATCTAGAGCAAATTCACAATGGAGGTCCATCCATGACCTTGGACCTTCACAATCACTGGTACAAGGTGATGCCACCCGGGGACTGGGAGGCTGTTGGAAGCACTTTCTGATCACTGGCCTTTGGTCTTTGGAGAATTTATGTTTTGTCATTCAAAAATTCACATTTATATTTCACACAAATGCTAGTACAAATCACATAGATTATTGCCCAGACACATTCATTTCATCATTGTTTATAATCATGAAAAATTGTTAATAATAAAAATTCTACCAATAGGTAAATGGTCAAATAAATTATGACCATTCCTATTGTGGGAATAAAATGGGAAATTTATATGAATTGACTCGAACTTGATTATGTTACCAGTGAACTAAGTTGCTGCCCATACAGCAGATTTTTATCTGTGTAAGAAACTGGAAATTTATATGTGTATTTCCAAGTGAATAGGCAAATGTCTGGAATAATACCAAACAGTAAGTGGTAGTTATTTCTGGAGTGTCACTTTGCAAAGGATGAAAGACTTTTCTTTATACTTTGTGCCCATCTTAATCATTTACATTTTTAAAAACAAGCCTGAGTGAGCTTTTTAATTAGAAAAAAAGATGTAGGCTCGGCGCCTGTGGCTCAACCGGCTAAGGCGCCAGCCACGTACACCTGAGGTGGCGGGTTCGAATCCCCAGCCCGGACCCACCAAACAACAATGACGGCTGCAACCAAAAAATAGCCGGGTGTTGTGGCGGGCGCCTGTGGTCCCAGCTACTTGGGAGGCAGAGGCAGGAGACTCGCTTGAGCCCAGGAGTTGGAGGTTTTTGTGGAGCAAGATGCCATGGCACTCTACCCAGGGGGATAGCTTGAGGCTCCGTCTCAAAAAAAAAAAAAAAAAAAAAAAAAAAAAAGAAAAAAAGATGTAAAGAGTAGTAAAAATTAACATTCAGACGGATCTTATAATCTATCACCATAGAAAGGTAACATTGAAGAACTGTGGAAATACTCACTTTTTGACCCTCAGGAAGGATGATAAGGTCTTTTTACCTCTGGATGCTGTGTGGGGTGAGTCAAAACTGAGAACTCAGACGTGAATGAAAAGGTGGAATAAAAGGTAACACATTTTCTTTTCTAATTCTAATTCATGCCCTGATCGCTCAAAGAGCATGTAGGCTTCTTGGGCACTAGTATGAAAAGAAATCGTTTCTAGCTCTTCTTGCCATAAATCAATCACTTACTACTACCCATTCTTCAGCTGATCCAAATTGGACCTGGACCTGTAATTCCTAAAGATGCTGCCTTATTTAAAATAATTGAAGAGCAGAGGAATATTTTACTATTTGAAGTCTCATTTTCTCCGAAGGTTGGTTATAAACTTCTTTGCAATTTTATACTGGTTTAATGATACACATTTTGTCTAGTTTACTGAGCAGAGACACTGGGGGATAAATTATTGGCCTGGGACTCAGGTCCAGAAAATGTTAATTAGCCTCATTTAAAAAAATGATATTGAGAATTAACTTTCAACAGGGGACTAAGGAAGAGATGCTAAACGGGTCTGTGTAGAAGCTGCCTCAGTGCATCTGTAACAGGGTGATGCCTCGTGGGAACCAATGTGATAATTATGAAAACAATAGTAAAAAATGAAATGTCACTTTCTTGAGCAGTTCGCCTGAGCTGGGCAGAATTTTAGTAATTTCCATTTCTTTTATCATTTGGCGCTTATAACGTTCAAGGCAGTTGTTATTATTAGTTTACCTACTTATATGTGTGTATCTTGAGCAAATTACCTACCATCTCTGTGCCACAGTTGCCTCATATGTAAAAATAGGAGTAAGAATAGCACCTGTGTCATAAGTTTGTCATGTGCAGTAAATGTGATAATATATGTGGAACGCTTAGAAATGCTTTTCTGATTCTGCATCTCTAAATTTCTCCTCTCATATTTGCAGTCCCTAAATCATTTCAATGAAATCATTAACTGTGGACTGATCTCCAAGGACCACAGAGTCTTTGAAAGAGCAGTCCCTGGTGAGTATTAAGAGGGGCATTGGCTAAGAGACTAATGGTACCCCAGTTTCCTCTTGCATTTGGTGAGATGAAAGTTTCTGTTATCGGGGGTTGGCCCAAAATAAATCTGTGAGTTCATGAAATTTGTCTTTAGTTCTTCATGGTGAATAATATTTACTCTTTAGCCTCAGGCACAGGCTGAATGAATGTTGCAAATACGGACTTTGAGACTTATTGTGTGCCATTGGTCAGAAGTCTTACTACTGTCTGACTCCAGGTAGGAAAGACAAAATGATAAAAGAAGTCCTTGGAAGTGGATGAAAGACAAAGATATATAAACCAAAGACAGTGCATATATTGGAAAAGAAAGGAAAGGAAGACAAGAATGAGAAGATGAAAAAAACCAGATGGTGGAAATTTGTGAAGGAAGAGATAAATGTGGTCCAGCCAGAAGCCCACACACAGAGATGATTTGATTTTCAATATGTGGGGTTATTTCTCCCCAGCCCACACTCTTCTAAAATAATTTGTCTTTGATTGATTCTAGAAAGGGCAGCTCCTTGGCTGCCAATGACCAGACCTGTATGGGCACCGGGCTTGAGCTGCCACAGTTATAATCTCTATCCTGTGTATTTGGGCTGCAGGTGTTTGAGTTCACTAACCATGGGCTGTCAAACTGGAAGGTGATTTAGATTTCATGAATCAGGCATGAAAGATCATATGACAGTAGATGAATGACCAGGAAAGCTGGTCCACAGTGAGAGAAAGTAGGAAAGAACCAAAATATATGAGATGAGAGATAGAGATGGAGGGATTAGCCAAATGGTGGCATTCTTGTTATGTTTGGCTATACTTCTTGAATTTGGTCTCTTTAAGATACCACTGCAACCATTTCTTACCTTCTACCTTGAGAAGGTTTGTTTCTTTTTATAATCAAATGAGCCTAACTATCAAAAATTTCAAGAAATTTTGGGTGTGAAAACTGGACAGGAAGAATAGCTTGTGTGTATGTTGGAGACCAGCAAGGAAACTATTTGGTTGGCAAAAACCTTAGTGTTTTCCAAGCTTAGGGGCTGTGTGCAATAGAGCTCATTTAGCTTGGTAGAAAGCAGCAGCAAAGTTGGCAACTATCCAAGTAAAATTAAATGCACATGTTTGAGAATGACAATTTTTATTTTCTCCAAGGAGAAGATTCATTGCATTTAAAGGAAAGAATAGAGATATAGGAGTGATAAACTTCCAATCCAAGCCAGTCTTGAAGACTATTGGTTGTAGGTCTGTTAGATCAGTGACTAAGTTGTTTAAATGTGATTGGTCCAACTTTGTTTTGCATTCCTCATTAAAGCTTTCAGAGGCCTCTCCACATCAAACTGTGGAAGAAGTTAGTTTGATCACTGGGTTTTTGATTGTCTGAATCCTTCCTGTCCTCTTCTTGGTTGGGGAAATCAATGCTGTTTATAACCACAGACTTTTCTTTCATTGATGGTCTTTCCTGTTCATGGAGAATTCATTTGTGTATGAAAACAGCACACTGTACGCCATGATTGCATTAATGTACACTGTTATGCTATAAGAAATAAAAAAAAAAAAACCCAGAGAATTCATTTGTGTCAAAACCATAATTTTTTCCTTACAGAAACTTCACTTCGTGTATGAATCAGTTTCTCTCTCCCTGTCTTTCTCTTTGTATTCTCCCTTATCCTTCACTATCACAATTCTAATTTTCGTGCTTACTTCAATAACTGACAACATTTTTACGAAGGCTGACTTTAGAGTTCCATTGGCCATTGGGGGGAACTTCTGAGATGTCAAAATAGTATACTTTAGAGGAACTTCTAAAAGTAGGGCTACAAATGACAAAAATATTCAGTGGTCATCTTTCTTTGAGTAGTATGCTTAAGAAACAAAGTAACATTCCAGCTTCAAGATAGCCTTTCTCAAAGACCCTCAAGCCAAACAAGAGAATTCACTCATATTGAAACCTTTTGCAATCTACTCCTTTTGAACCAGTCTGTGGCCTGTTGTATCCTTGTAACCCATTACACCCTTTCTCATCCTTCTGCTGTCTTTCCTAATGAGTTTACTCAGGGATTTTTCTCATGAAGCGAACAGTTCTATTTCACAATA